GCAGTTTATCAAGGATTTTTCGAAGGTAGTGAATCCTCTTTGCAAGTTGCTAGAGAAATATGCTTAGTTTGTGTTTGATGAGAAATGCATGGAGGCCTTTGAACTTCTAAAGCATAAGTTGACACTACCCCGATCATTACCGCACCCAATTGGAGCTTGCCTTTCGAGCTCATGTGCGACGCGAGTGATGTTGCAGTTGGGGCAGTTTTTGGTCAAAGAGTGAACAAAATGTTTCATCCCGTGCACTATGCAAGCAAGACTATGAATGAAGCTCAACGGAACTACACGGTGACGGAGAAGGAATTGTTGGCTATTATGTTCGCCATGGAAAAATTTCGTCCATATCTTATGGGGGCCAAAGTCATAGTGCACACCGACCATGCCGCCCTTAGGTATTTGATGACCAAGAAAGATTCCAAGGCAAGACTGATGAGATGGGTGTTACTTCTTCAAGAGTTTGATTTGGAAATAGTGGACCGGAAAGGTAGTGAGAACCAAGTTGCGGATCATTTGTCCCGCTTGGAGGAGGAAGGAAGGCCGTGTGATGGCTTGGAGATCAACGATACATTCCCCGATGAGCAACTACTTTCTGTGTCAATGTGTGATATGCCATGGTTTGCGGATATTGCTAATTTTATTGTGACTGGCATCATCCCGTGTGAGCTCTCTTCTAACCAAAGGAAGAAGCTCAAACGGGATAGTCTGGACTTCTATTGGGATGAGCCATACTTGTTCAAGATTTGCATGGATGGTGTGATTCGAAGGTGTGTCCCGGAGGGAGAACAATTGAGTATTTGGAGGCTTGTCATTCCTCCCCCTACGGTGATCATCATGGAGGGGTGAGGACGGCTTCGAAAGTTTTGAGTTGTGGTTTCTATTGGCCAACCTTGTTCAAAGATGCAAGTGATCTAGTGAAAAGATGTGATCAATGTCAACGAGTGGGCGGAATTTCCAAGAAAGATAGATGCCTCTGAACACAATTCTTGAAGTTGATATCTTTGATGTATGGGGTATCGATTTTATGGGCCCTTTTGTTAGCTCGTGTGGGAACACTTACATTCTTGTAGCGGTTGATTATGTGTCAAAATGGGTTGAGGCCGTGGCCTTGCCCAACAATGAAGCTAGGAGTGTGGTGTCATTTCTAAAGAAGAGCATTTTCACAAGGTTTGGTACACCCCGGGCAATCATTAGTGATGGAGGATCGCATTTTTGTAATAGAGCTTTTGATACCTTGCTATCCAAGTATGGTGTCAACCACAAAGTCTCTACACCTTATCATCCTCAAGCAAGTGGCCAAGTTGAAGTGTCTAACAGGGAGATCAAGAGTATTTTGTCCAAGACCGTCAATGCCAATAGGACCGATTGGTCTAAAAAGTTAGATGATGCTCTATGGGCTTACCAGACCGCTTACAAGACCCCAATTGGTATGTCACCGTATCGGTTGGTGTTTGGGAAAGCATGTCACCTACTAGTGGAATTGGAACATAAGCCCATGTGGGCCTTGAGGAAGCTTAATCTTGAGTGGGATGTTGCGGCCAATCTTCGTGTTGAACAACTCAATGAACTTGATGAATTCCGGTTCCATGCATACTCTAGTTCGTCCTTGTATAAGGACAAGATGAAGTACCTTCATGACAAATATGCTCGTGGAAAGGAGTTCAAAGTTGGTGATTTGGTGCTCTTATTCAACTCTCGTCTAAGGTTGTTTCCGGGAAAGCTGAAATCAAAGTGGAGTGGACCATTTGAAGTTGTATGTGTGACCCCGTTTGGTGCTCTAGATTTGAAGAACAAAAGTGGTGAAGTCTTTAGAGTTAATGGGCATCGTGTCAAGCATTATCTTGGAAAGTTTGATGATAGCCATGTGGTGGCTGTTGTTCATTTCAAATGATGTGATGGTAACCTGCGTCGTGCCGCGACGTTAAATCAGGCGCTTCTTGGGAGGCAACCCATGTGTTTTTCTTTTTGTTTTCTTTGATTTTTCTTGGTAGTATAGGATTGATTTTTGGGCTAACTGATTGTGAGATGTTGCAGGGATTGAGTTGATGCAGTGCAGGGCATAATGGAAAAATTGTTCCATCTCTGAAGTTTCCAGTGCGGCCGCACTACACTTTGTGCGGTCCGCACTGGTGTGAGCCAATGTGAGGACTCTCTGAAGTTTGCCACCACGGCCGCATTACATTTTGTGCGGACAGCGGTGGACCTCTGCGGCCGTGGTCTGTTTTGTGCGGACCGCAGAGGTTGCCTTCTCAAACTTCTTCTAAACAAACCCAGTGCGGACCAGAGTCCGTTTTGTGCGACCGCGCTGGTAGGTAAGAATGGGTCCCACGGTTGTTCTATAAATAGACCTCAGGGACCACTGTTTACACTTTTCGCGAATTTGAAACTCAGAGAGACTAAAACACTGTTCATCCCTCTTCCTTGCTCATAAATTCTCGGTTGCTTTGTGTGATTCTTTCCTGCTCAATATCTGGTAACATTTCACCCGTTTCTTTTAGTTAATTATTTAATTCCATTTCATTTTTAATTTATTATCCTGTAGCTTCTTTTTCTTCCCGTATTTCTTCAATTTTTAGGTAGTTAGTTTTGAATTGTTAATTTTTGTAGTACTTAGTGAGCATAATTGAACTGNTCTGGGATCCATCAAAAGCTTTCACATTGATTGCTCCTTCTTTTATCTCGTGCAGTCCTTTACCCAGCTTCTTGAGTGTTATCAATGGACATATGTTAAGGCTGGATCCTCATCAATCAGGATCCTAGTGATGAAGTAGTCTTCGCATTGCACAGTGATGTGCAGTGCTTTGTTGTGACCCAGCCCTTCAGCCGGCAGCTCGTCCTCATAGAAAGTGATTTTGTGGCTTTCTAACACTTGTCCCACCATATTGGCCATTTCTCCACCAGTGATGTTACTCGGCAGGTATGCCTCACTCAGCACCTTCAACAGAGCATTTTTGTGTGTCTTGGAGTTCTGCAACAAAGAGAGGATAGATATCTGCGCTGGTGTTTTATTTAGCTGGTCAATGAGTGAATACTCCTTGGCTTGTATCTTCCTCCAAAGGTCATCTGGGCCTGTTTCAATGATGAGTGGCAGGTTGGGAGCTTGCTTACTTGACTCAGCTAAGTGCTCCGGGGTATAGAATCTTCCAGTCCTTGTCATACCCTGTGCTGCAATAGTCTTTTCGAACCTGACTTTGCCTTTCCTCCTAGCCTCAGCCGTATAATTCCAAGGAACAACTTTTGTATGGAATGACGGCATGGTGGTCATCGCCACTGGAATTGGTGCGACTACCTTTACTTCAAATAGGACATGTTCTTTGGGTGGTAAAATTGTAACCTCAAACGGTGTCCGTGCCTTGGCTGATGGTGCTGCCTCAAACTCAAGCGGGATAGACACGTCTACCTCAGTGTCCTCGGATGGTTGAATCTGGACCATGATAGGGTTAAGAGTAACTGCTGGCTTCTTTGGATCATCGCCTTCTGCGATCAACCCTATGGATCCCTCAGGATCCCAATCATCCTCCATTTCAATCATGTGAACGCCTCCACCCTTATGGTCTGACGGGGGATTATTACGGATATTCGGAGCGGGTTCCTTTGCCACAATAATCTTATTATCGATTAGTGACTGGATCTTGTCTTTCAAAGGACGACATTAATCGATGGTGTGCCCTTTCATGCCGGAGTGGTATGCACATGATTTGTTTGGGTTAATCCACTGATAAGGGTTCTCAAGAGTGGTAGCAGGGATGGGGGTGACATAACCAGCAGCTTTGAGTCTCTCATACAACTGCACAGTATAAAGAACAGAGCAAGAGACTCCAAGAAAGCAAACTATATCATAGATACGAAAGTTTCCCTACAAAGGGGGCTGGCTTCAACAACCCATACGGGACGGCTTGCCAAGCTACACAAACAGTTAATTTGCTTATAGTCGCAAAAGTTTTCCTACAGAGGGGCTGGCTTCAACAACCCATAAGGGACGGTTTGCCAAGCTACACAACTCAGAAAACTTTTGTACTATAACAAACATTAGCTGTTTATAACTCAGAAAACTTTCGTACTTACAATAAGCTAACTTTCTTAGAGTATCCTTCTCTATTTTCATACATGGACCGGCCTTTCCATCCATTCGAAAGAAAGAACAAGAGGGAAATTTAGAAAGAACTCATATGTAATATATCACAAGAAGTTTTACAAAGGTTACAAGATGATTGCAAGATGATCTTCCAACTACTACAAGACCTCTTTTATATAGGGCTAGGAGGTTATTACAAGACAAACTTACATGATAAAATAAACCTATCTTACATGGCAAACTTATCTTACAAGTGGGTCCTTTTAAGCATGTGAAGGACTTTAGGCAAAACAACTAAAAAACACCTGAAAACATGTGAAAGGGGTGAAATATACATGGTGTAGCATGTGAAAGTATGTGGGAGCATGTGACGCCATGTGAAAGTATCGTGTTGCATGTGATGAAGCATGTGGAGGCATGTGAAAACAAGTTGAAGTGGAGCTCGGATAATATAGAAAGATGTGGAAATTTGTCTTGGCTTGGGTATGATATTTTTTAGAGTTTTTTAGTGGCTAATCTAGGATTATGGTGGGGTTAGCGGGGATTTAGGTAATTATTCTTCATTGATTCTAGGGTTGTCTTCTAGGCATCTTTTCAAAGACCTTGTGTAGTAACGCCTGGAATTTGACGGTCCTTCTTCACGGTGCTCTTTCTCTTTTGGATTGAGAGATGTAATCCGCAACCTTAACCTGGAAATGTCTTGAGTGATCTTTTCTCGGATGACTTCGTATGGGGTTTGATATTTTTTTGCTGCTGCTCGGACTCTTTCCAAGTGAGGATGATTGCTTGTATAATTCCAGCTTGCCCAATCTTTTGGCCATATCTCTTTCGGAATGCACCTATTTTGCTGAAAAAGGATTCTTTGTGCCTCGCTATATTCTTCCTCCATTGATAAAATGGACACGGGAAATTTCCACTAGAATGATGCCTCTGCTTGCGCCTGGACTTNGGGCCAATCCATTACTGCCACCAGCTGAGCCAGGCACTTCATAGCTTGAACAACTGGATGTCAGCTGCGTCGAGTTGTCTACATTGTCTTCTACCATTGCGGCTCAGTCAGCACCACAGCCAGTACAGATTCCACAGTCCATTGAGGACACATTGAAGAAGATCCTGGAGAACCAGGAAAAGATCATCAGGACTCAGGATGCCTTGTCTAAGGCAGTGGATTCACACGGCAAGGCTCTGAAGGAGCTTGCCAGGGAGCACAAGAAATTGCGAAAAACACGAGCTTCTAAGGAGTCTGTGAAGGAGCTTAGAGCAGATGTGGACAAGCTGAAGGCTGACTCATTACCTTTAGACTTGCTATTTGGGGATCTAGCTCCAGCAGCAGTACCAGCAGCAGAGCCACAGCAGGAGCAGACACAGATGCTTCCTAGGAAGAAGAGGAAGCTCCCCAGTGCAGATGAGGAGATCATCCAGTTGGCAGACCCACCGGAGGCCTCCTCCAGTCAGCCACAGGATGCCCCTGATATTCAGCCTGTCCAGGTCCAGGCCCCAGTCCCAGCAGCTGAGCAGCAGGAGACCGGGAACCAGTCTGAGGTTCCCGCGCATACAGAGGACCCGAGGACCACTCATGATCCCATGCAGACGGACGAGGCTTAGGGAGTCTTCATATCCTTTCCCTATACTTTTTGATGCTTATTTTTTTAGTTGGCATTGGGGACAATGCCAGCTTTTATTCGAGGGGGTGCGCCCTTCATTTTTGGATGACTGTAAATATTGATACTATTTTATGCTTTCTTTTGATTTTCTGTTGGTCTGTATTTAACTTTACATTTAGTTACTTTCATCGTACTTTTTATCTTCTTTTTGGGTCTGTATATAAAGTTACATTATTGTATATATTCATCCCCCGTTGTATATTCATTCCCCGTTTGTACATATTAATTTTATTTTCTATTTTTCGTAAAATTTTTTTTCGTTTTTAGCTTCTTATATAGGCTCGTAGCTTTTTGTTTTGTTTTGACGCTTTTAATAAGCCTTTGGTTTTCTTAATGCCATGGTTCTTTCCAAAGGTGGAGTATTGTGTGAACCGGGTGGCTCTTCCCAATGATAGATGGCGTGACAACCTTCTTAAGGGTTTGAGTCCGTTTTTTGTTTTCTGTTTTTGGTAGTTTATGGTTAAGGGTACCTCAAGCAAAGCTTCACTTGGGCCTAGTACATTTGCCTTTGATCCCATGGTCAAAGACAAAATGTTGTGTTTAGGATGGTGAAAGTTGTGGCCTTGAGACTCTTGCGTTGGCCGATAATCATTAAGTGGTTTTTCGGGCCATTGTGTGCTCAAATCGTATCTAAGGTCGTTGTGGCCCCCGACTCTATATCTTTAGCAATCCCCTAGCTTGTGTGGTGAGAAATCGAATTGCGAGTCCAAGTCCCGAGCCATTGGTCTAGAACTTGTCCTGAATGTTTGTTGAGGCGAAATCTTAAGTGAAATTTGATTTGGGAAGTGATTATAGGCTCTCCTTGATCCAAATGATAGTTGAACAATTCCATAGCCTACCAATGATATGATTCCTAGTTAACCCTTTTTAGCCTTGGACCTTTTTCTTTCAAGTACCATGTTACAAGCCTATACCCGTTCTAAAAGATACCCTCTCTTGGCACCCGATCTTTCCTTGAGCACATGGAAAAAGTATAAGTTTGGGGGGAGAGACGAGGATGACAAGAAAGTGGTATAAGGCACAAAAATGAAGAAAAGGGAAGGAAATGAAAAAGAAAGAAAAGCAAAAAAACAAAAAGAATGCTCAATGTGAGAAAGAATAAAAAAAGGGGATTCAAGAAAAGTAAAAGAAAGAAAGGTGTGAAAAGTTGAAAAAGGAGAAAAGAATTGAAATGCATAAGAAAGAGTGACAATAAGTCTCTCTAAACCCTTGGAAAGAGGTGAAATGACTGAAAGAGTCAAGTGAATGTTCCAAATGAATCAAAAGAAGTTCTTAAGGGAAGATGGAACCCACTCGAACAAAAACATGACCTACCCTAAACCAAAAGCCTTCACAATGACTCCACAAAAGCCCTATATGATCTTGAGTTGAATGAAGCTTACATTAGTGGATACTTACATAAGGGGCAAGCATATGGTACCTAGAGCCGGACTTGTGACCTTTTCTTGAGAGAGATGAGTGAATTCCCATTAACCTCGATTTGTGTGTCAATATTCTAAAAGGTGAGGCTTGCTTAAGGAAAGTTGAGGATGTATGAATTTGGGTTCCACAATGACTAAAGTAATTGAAAGAGTTCTTTGATGTGTTGAGTCAACTCTTGATGCTCTTGTGTCACACTTGATCCATTGTTTTTCAAAGGTTAAAGGTTGTTAATGATGCATTCGTATTGAGCGCAATTGTTAGTCCCAATTGATGCTTGTTGAGGTTACTTTAGGATAGCTGAAAATTCTTGGATTTTCCCTTAAGGGGTGGGTCTTATTTTGTTTGCTTGAGGACAAGCAAAAGCTTAAGTTAGGGGGAGTTGATAACTAGGGATTTTGACGTGTTTTATGTCCCTTCTTGCTTACGCTTTGATTATAAATTGTTACAAAATAGTCCCAAAAGGCTCATAGGTTGTGCTTGATTGCAGGTTTGATCGACAAAGTGACGAAATATCAAAGATCGGCTCAAAAGGACTGCCATTATGTGCGGTCCGCGGAAGAGAACTTCAGAGAGTTGAAATTGCCAAGGTTCAAAACCATGCGGTCCGCGATCATGTTTGTGCGGACCGCGCTAGCAGCCTCCGCGGCCGCGGTCCACTCTGCGCGGTCCACGGAGCCCAAGTTCAAAGAGCCAAGATTTGAAGTCCAAGAGCCTAGTGTGGCCGCAATCCATTTTGTGCAGCCCGCACTGACCCCACAGGGGCATTTTTGTCCAGTTTTTCCAGCTTAGTATAAATAGAACCTTTTTCCATTTTTAGGGTATCAGTTATTTTATTTTAGCAGCTGTGCTCGTGAGAACATCATCTGTAGCCATTTTTAGCATCTTAGGTTACTTTTAATGATAGATTCTTGTATTTTACTTTAGTGCTTAATTAATATGTCTTCTTTTTCATCTATTTCTCTATTTTCTTCTTCAAGCATGAGTAGCTAAACCCATTAGCTAGGGTTGTGGCTCAACCCTAGTGTGGGTAATTGATGGGTGTTGTGATTTAAGGTTAGATTAACTATGGGTGTTTGTATTTGGGTCAATTTTATGGTTTAATTTTGTGAATTGGTGGTTGCAAACACTAGTTTGTGCTAAGTTGACTTGGCTCTTCTTGAGAGAGAGAGCCTAAGTCTCCAAAATTGACCAAACAAGGAATTGGGATGGACTCAAGAGAATTGATAGTCCCAATTAAAGGGTTAAACCTTGAGAGAGTAGTTACCCGACTTGAACCCTAGTTGCTTGAGATAATTTGCCTACCCATTGGTCTCGAGAGAGTCAATTGGGAAAAATCACTCTCTCTACTGAGAGGTGTGAGAGTGGGTAAAATTGTGCAACGGTTATACATATTTCCCCAATCATGTCAATCAAGCTTTAGAAGCAATTACCCGTCAATTAGCCACCTAGGTAAAAGTCACTACCCTGGTGCCCCTTAATCTATTAGATACAACTCTTAGCGATTATCTCTTAGCGTAATCTAGTTTCAATTCTAATTAGTAGTTTTATAATAGTAGTTTATAAAAGAAAACCCAAAAATGTTGGAAGTGACATTTGTAACAATTACACGATTCTAGACTAGATAGATACATCAACTCCCTTTCTAGCTCCCTGAGGAATTCGATCCCGACCCTCATATCGGGTAAAAGCTATTGCGACCCTCTCATGCTACCTTTTATTGGTGCAGAGTAGGTAGCGATCACTTGCCCAGCGAGTGAAATGTTTGGCGTCATCACGGTTCCGAAGGTGGGAATCCCGGATTGTGACAAGTTGGTATGATAGCCCTAAGGTTCCTAGTCTCACGAGTTACGGACATGCTTAGTAGAGTCGGGAGGATCGGTACGGAGATGTCTGTACTTATCTTCCAGAGGATATGGAGTTTAGGAATAATTTCTCTTCTATTTTTCTCTATCATGTGATTTTACTCTATCATTGATGATTGAACTCTTTTTTCTTATTCTCTTGGAGATGGCGAGAACACGTACTGTATTTACAACTGGACAGCAGCTGGAGCCCTAGTGGCTGCTTCCACGAGGGGCAAAGGTTGAGGACGAGGTCGCGCCAGAGGCCGAGGCAGAGGTAGAGCTCAGCCTAGAGCTCGAGTAGCAGCACCAGTAATGGAGCATCAGGTAGATTCTGATGAGGAGGTTCCAACTCAGACTGTACCTATTGGACTAGCTCAGGTCCAGGAGGGGTTCAGAGCCACTCCAGTGCGTTAGGATGCTTTAGTCCGTTTAGTGGGCCTTATAGAGAGTATGGCCTAGACCGGTACATTTTCAGTAGCACCAGCCGTCTCTCAGGCTGGGGAAGGAGCACAAACTCCTGCTACTCACACTCTGGAGCAGATGTCTCCCCAATATCAGACTCCAGCAGCCCCGCCAATTGGGGTAGTTCAGCCGGTTGTTGCAGCACAGGCCAATGATAGGCCTGCCATGTCTTCTGAGGCTTTATTGAGATTGGACAAGTTTACTAAGCTTTTTCTAGTTCACTTTAGTGGTGCGTCTTCTGAGGACCCACAGGATTATCTTAATTGCTGCCATGAGGTACTGCGAAACATGGGTATAGTTGAAACCAATGTGGTCGATTTTGCTGTGTTTCAAATGACGGGTTCCGCCAAGAGGTGGTGGAGAGATTATATGTTGGCCAGACCAGCAGTATAAAGAACGGAGCAAGAGACTCCAAGAAAGCAAACTAAATCATAGATACGAAAGTTTCCCTACAAAGGGGGCTGGCTTCAACAACCCATACGGGACGGCTTGCCAAGCTACACAAACAGTTAATTTGCTTATAGTCGCAAAAGTTTTCCTACAAAGGGGCTGGCTTTAACAACCCATAAGGGACGGTTTGCCAAGCTACACAACTCAGAAAACTTTTGTACTATAACCAACGTTAGCTATTTATAACTCAGAAAACTTTNAGGA